CTGACACGCCACGTCGTCGGACCACTCTCGTAGGGGAGCACTGGGTCAGCTCCGACGGGGCCCATGTGTATGCATCGTCCCGACCTTCGCGCCCTAGCCAAATTTCTTCGTGTATGGTCTACGGAACTGAACACTGTCTGGCAACTCACACATGTGTTGTCGACGCAGACCTGGGGCATGATCGGTGGGGTCCCATGTCCTGGTAAGGTCGTCGCATGTATTTGCTGTTTCACCCATTCTCGCGACTTCACAAACAGTGCGCGGCACCCCATCCAGACCACACACCAGATGGTACATTTCCTCCTCCTCCTCGCTGTCGGTGCCCCCCTATGCAGGCGCTGTCTGGTAAGAGTTCCAGGACATGTTCTTGGGGGGGGGCACTCCTGTCCACGTACCGTCGAGCGGAATGCGCTGACATCGGTGGCGCTGAAGGCGTGGACAACATCGGGCTCCCTGAAAAAGCGCCCCATCGTAGGCGGGTCCCATGCCTCGCGACACTCCTCTGCCATGCGGTTGGCGGTGACAGATTGGAGGTCTCTGCGAAACTGGAGTGAGGCTTATGATGCTGATGATGCTGCGGAGGAACCAGCTGATGAGGATAGAAGGAGTATCATACATGATGAGGAGCAGGGTGGGGAGCGGTGGTCCAGAAGAAAACGAGAAGGTATTGGGAGGGACGGTCAGGAGACACGGGGGGAAAAGTGAGAGAGAGGGTGGGTAGAAAAGTTGGAAGGAGCGTTATGAAGTATGAGAGACGAACGAGCAGGGGATGAAGGATGGAAGGGAAGCGCGACGAGGAAACGATGCCGGCGAGGAACATTCATGATCAAAAAGGAGCATGGGTGGGGAGGGAGCGGTGAGGAAGGACAATGGAGGCTAGAGAGAGGGAGAGAGAGAGAGAGAGAGAGAGAGAGAAAAAAAAAAAAAACAAGAGAATTATAGAGAGACAGCAGGGGGAAGGGTTTCAAGAGAGGCCTCATGAGGGGGGCAAAAAGGGTTGTGGGGGTTTCAAAAAAAACTCTGGGCTTCACGAACGCTTAAGGGAGCAGGAGGAGATATGGCCGAGGGAGGAGGGTGGTTGCGGAACCTGCTCGGAGGTTTCGGGCAAGTTGCAACTACCAACTGATAGTTCTCAAGATGCTCGATGTATTCGGAATTGCTGCGCGGAGAGGGAGGAATGTAGGGAGGAACGGAAGAGGTGGAACACCTCCCTCCATGGCCTTCCTCTTTCCTCTTTCTCTTTGTCATAGCAATGTTATCCTCTAGCTTCCCTCATCCAGGGATGGAAAGGGAGAAAAGGAGGGAGGAGGGAGGAGGGGGTGGAGGGCAGATTAATGGAACATGAAGAGAGAAAGAGTGAGAGAGCGAGAGAGAGAGAGACAAACAGAAAGAGGAATGATGGTGGACAGAGGGGGGAGTTAGGTGGATGCTAATTCTGAAGAGGAAAAGGACAATAAGAAGCCGAGCAAGATGAGGAGACGGGACCATGATGATAAACAATATGAGGAGGAGCAGGGTAATAATGGGAGTCGGAAGATGGAGGTATGATGCAGGATGGTGAAAGATAGGCAGCAGCAGGAGAAAGTGGATGACCAGGAGCAGCAGCAAGAGTAGCATACATATTGCACCGCTCCGAATTAATTCCAAATTTTGAGACGTGCGCATCGCGTATCAATCGCGATCAGTGTGCGCTTGAAGACGGCCTGAGGGGAGGTGCGGGGGCTGAGGGGGCTGCGAAGGGGGACAAAGCTGAGGCGGCCACAATCCATTTGGCCGCAGGTGCCTGGTGCGATGTCGGGCTCGCGCGGGCATCACGGAAAACTTCTGCTTGGGGACCCCAACTTCATCATTCCGATACAAGCGGTTTATGGACCTGGCGAATTGCAAACCGCTTGGCTCTTCCTCCCAAACCCCGTTTGGGTCTCTTACCAGCTGGCCCGGACACGAAGAACTGATTATTCCAATGCGACCCGGTACATTTACCAGCCGGCCCGGACACGAAGAACATGGCTACCACTTGTGTGAGACATTTGTTCGATTCGTCGGCTTCTGCTACAGAGCTGAACAAATCGCCAGGAAGACTTCTGGAAACATCCAGCTTCTGATCAGTGCTTCTCGTTGCTCTCATGTGCTGTTGGGCCTCCTTTCTTCTCCGCTGCGCCGCGCGTGTTATCTTTTGTTCTCCCCCCTCCTCCTGGTCGCGCCGTCGTCCACATGCGGCACGCCCTCACGCGGATCGTGTCTCGATAGGGGGCTCCATCCACGTCCTCGTGGGAACGCCCGCTTGAGGGCCAAGTCGCCCACGTGCGCGCAGATTAGGATCCCCAAAGGGGGCTCCACGTAGTGGGAGCGTCCGCAGGCGGACCTACGCGCACTTCGGCACACCCCTCGCGTGGACCGCTCGACCACCCCCCCCCCAGCCACCGCAAAGGGAGCTCCAACTTCGGCTCCAGTGGGCGCGTCCGCATGCGGTCCCGCGCATATTTCGGCACACTTCTCCCACAGATCGCACCCCCTGAACGGGTTCCACCTGCGGCTCCACCTGGCGCGTCCGCATGTGGGCCCACGCCCAAATCGACAGACCCCTCACACGGATCGCGCCTGGCCTAGTGGAAGCGTCCAGCATGCGAGCCCGCGCTTAGTCTGGTACACCCCTCACGCGGCCCATGCCTTTGGGCGCGTCCAAATGCAGGCCCACGCCCAGTTTGGCAAACCTGGGGGCTCCACCTACGGCCCCGGTGGGCGCGTCCGCATGCGGGCCCACGCCCGCGTCAGCACATCGCTCACGCCGACCGCCCCGCACAGGGGAGCTCCACGTGCGGCCACAGCGGGCGCGTCCGCCTGGGGCCCACGTTCAAGTTGGCACATCCCTCACGTGGATCATGCCTCCTATGGGGAGCTGCATCTGCAGCCCCCAATGGCGCCTGGGTGCGCCCCCGATGGATCTGTGCCCACAGTCTGCCTCGCACGGATCACGCCCCCAATGGCGCCTTGGTGCGCCTGCCCTGCGACCACCTGTCCGCCCCAGCCCGGAGCCCCCGCCTTTGTCCCTCCCGCGGCGCGCAGCACGTGAGGAAAGGATCACGCCCTGGACTGCCCGCAGCTGGATACAGTCGTGGTCGATTGGAGAGGACACGCGAGAGGACACAAGACCATTGCGAGGGCCACATTGTCATAGGAGCGTAGAAGGCATGGGTAGCGAAACGCAGGACACAAGGGTGCCCTTGATTTGGCAAGGTCGACCTGCTGATCAACCTCGACTGTAGGGTGAGGCCTGTCGCCCAGCCAGTCTCTGGGATGACCCAGAAGTTGGCCATTCCCACAACTCCTCAGCACTTGAGCGTAGACAGGTTTTCGGGTCACCTCTACGATCCTCGTATGTGAGTGACTCGTTTGGGTCTTCTTCGAAAGCGGCATATTAGTATCCGTGAGGGGATTTGCCTGCGGCCCCTCAAGGAAACGCACTGTACTAGAGTTGACCGCGCATATTACTGCTGTCTCCTCTCAGTGAGCACGATCATGGGCACACCTCCCAGGGCTTCTCCATCACTGTCATCTCTGGATCCGTCGCAGGAAGCTTGTCAGCGAGCGCATTGCGTAGGAATACAATGGCAAGGAGTACATTCGAGAGCTCTTCGGATGACGCGGCCGCGCTTACTATCTTAAGTCGGCTTCCGCATCGCAACGCGCCTTCGACTGTGCCCTTGCATTGCATCCACGTGGCGCCGTGCATCGCAGGATATAGGAATAGGCCAGTCGCGTGCGTCAGTCAGCGAGGTGGGTCGGCTGCGGAGCCGCGGCTGACTCAGAGCTCGGCCTGTAGTTCGGGCGACGGCTTGCTGTATAGTTCGGTTTCCCCCACTTCTTCTCGAAGACGAGCTCCTCGTAGAACGCCTCTCACACCTCGTCTGGGTTTAGTTCCTCAAGCCCGTGGGGTCACACCCACTGTGCGTCTCATCCACCCCAGAAAGGACGTCGACCACCAGGCTGCAACTGGCGTCCCCTGAGCCCCAGGCAACCCGTTTTCTGAGCCGAATGGCGCCATCACACTCCAGAGGCCTTCTGCGAGGAAGAACGCTTCGGTCATGGACGACGAATCCCGCACGACATGCTTCCGCACGTCGACCCGACACCACCTGTGCCGATCGGTCGGGGCTTCCCATCTGACGGCCACCTCCTCGTTCCCAGCAGCTCCCTCGAACTGCTCCATCAAGCCCTTCGTGGTGGCCACGAGACGCCGCTGGCCCCCGATGGCGCCCCAGACCCGCTCCGCCCTTCCTCGGGGGAAAGCTCCTATGGTGACCTTGAACGCCCACAGCCCACAGGAATCCCTGGCATGCACCCTCCGCCGCCCCTCGCCCCACGGAGGTAATGCCACCCCAGACGCGGCCACCGACCTGCGCCCCTCGCGCGAGTCACGCCGCCCACAGCAGGACTGCACAACGCCGACGCCGCCTCCGACGCGCACGCGGGGCGGACCCCCATGCTGCTCGAGCCGGAAGAGCCGTGCGCCAAGATGGCCTAGGAAGCGCGAGGAGCAGCGATGCAGCGAGGTGGGAGCGTCGGCTACACGCAAGAGTGGCCCTAGGCAAGAGTGACCTTTGGTACGCGGTATTCGGGGGGCGCGGGGGCCGAATTCCAAGCGCGCAAGCCCATGCTCGGAGGACCAGTGTGGGCCCGCACCAAAAGGTCACTCCTGCGAAGGGTCACTCTTACGAGTAGCCGAGAGATCGGGTGTTCTAGAAATGTGTTTGGTCCAAGGTGCCCCCAGGAATTCCAATGAGGCCCCCACGGCCTCCAGAGCACCCTTCAAAAGGCCCAGAGGGCTCCAGGGGCTCCAAGTGGACCAAAAAGCTGGGGGCACCTCGGGCAAGAAGCACCTGTGTAGCAACCCGAACACCGATACCGCTCCTCCCTGGACCTCTCCCGGGGTGCGTTCTGACCAGAATTTTGAGGCGAGTCCAACGCTGGCGACGAGGGCCTCCCGGGAAGCCGACACAGGCGAAAACGAGGCGAGGGCAGCTGTATCGGTACCTTTTTCTCCTCTGAACTGCCGTCGGCCAGTCCTTCGTGCACCCAGTCCATTAGCACCCCCCGAAGAGAGGCGCGCGACGCCGACGGCTCGCGCCGGCGTCGGGCCGCGCCGAAAGGAGGCACACCGGGCACGGCAGGCCACGCCCCGCAGACCCGGCAGGCGCGGTGGGTCCCGGGGCCAGCCGGGAGGCCAGCTCGGATCCACCACCTGCGCCCTGGGCCTTCAGGGAGGACACGCGATAAGACAGGAATGTAGAAGGCATGGGTCGCGAAGTACAGGGCACAAGGGTACCCTCGATTTGGCAGGGTCGGCCTACTAATCAGCCTCGACTGTCTTTGGCTCCCGAGATCCGAAGCACTTGGGCGACGAACGCAAGCGGGTCCCACGCAAGAAGACACAGCGACCTTACGCCGCGACTTACGAGGGCCGCCAGCGCGGCACACCATGTCAGAATCGAGGGCGCCTACGCGCGACCTTACGCGGGCAGCTCACGTGCCAATGTCGGTGACGACGACCCCGTTTTCTTCCGCCGCTCCCTTGTGGGCACGCACGTGCCCGAACAGTCCATGATATTCGGTCATGCCCGAACATGCACCTCGGCTCAGAGCTCCGTCCCAGTTTAGCCATGACAGTCCCAAGTGCCCTCGCGTCCGTCGCTTGCCAGGGCGAGAGAACTCTGGGGGCTCAGGGCTCCTGCAGGCTCCCGTGGGCACTCGCGAGTCGGCTCTTCCCGAGGCCGCTCCTGGGCCTAGGGCTTAGGGCAAGTGGTTGGGAACTCAGGCCCCCAGCATGCCCCAAGATAGCCCCAGGAGCCCGGCGGGTGGTCATCCAGCCTGGAGGTCTCTTAAGCCTTCTTGGGGGCAACTAAAACAGGCTAGCCAGGCCCCAATTCGAAGTTGCAAGAGCGCCGCAATACCGCCAAAAAGCTACCCGAGTGCCCGCACGACGATGATGAGGCCCCGAGAGAGCCCTGGTACGGTCCAACAGGGAGGTCCAAAATCAGGATAACCAAAGAAGTCCCGAGAGCCCACGAGGCCCCAAGAGACAACAACATGCTCTGACGTTTGCTTTTCGGCCATATTGGGGCGCGGTGACTCACCGGAGGCATCTGTCATAACGGAACTACCCCCAGGACCTCTCGATCCCTACCCATTTTTGTTGCGCATGCGAGGGTGTCGTAACGCACATGCGCCGTTCGACGCGCAGAAAACCCCTCGACATCGTCTCACCGGAATAAGCGCTTGAAGAAACTCTTCTTAGCCTCACCTGTGGTGCCCTCCTTCACGAGAGCCGCGGCTTTCTTGGGGTGGTTCTTGCAGGTGTCGACAACGAAGTTTTCGTCAGGGAACTTCAGGAAGAACCCCTCGTCCAAGTATAGCTCGGGCACCGAATAGCTCGTGACTTCAGGGAAAACCTGGCACAACTCGTCCACCTTGAACTCGTAATAGTCCATCTGGATGTCGTACTGCTCTGGCGTCATAATTTTCGGAGACAGCATGTTGACGAAGAAAAGCCGCTGCAGTCCTTTATTCATCATTTTGAGCACGGTAGCGAAGGAGCTCATCGTGGTTGCAAGGTTCTTGGCCGCGAGGATATGGCACACGTCACCCGCAAGGCTGGTTGCCGGTTTCAGGACCACCTTGTCCTTGTGCTTCGCCAAGATGTCGTCGATACATGGACTGGCTGGCTCCTCGGTGGAGTACACCAACTGAATCTTCTTGAACGGGCCTCCCTTGTAACCGGTCTCAATGACCTTGTGGAAATACGCACACGGCGGCTGCCTGTGCTCTGGTCTCATGTCTGGATTGAGGTCATTGTGCAGGGCCACGTCGCCATTCCTGATGTGAAGGGTAACCTCATCGTCCGCACCATCCTCGCACTTGTCCATGACATCACTGTTCAACAATGGCAAAACATACTTCTGATAATTCGCCTGGCGCTCCTTGATAGTAGTGCGGCACCTGTTGAAGAAAAGGAACCGGCAATCGTGGTGCCAAGCGTACATCTTTCCGGAGACTGGTACGAAGTCGCAGGACCCTCGATGGGGGATTGAAGGAGCAATTTCGATGAGACGGTCCTTAGGGTTGCCGAACATGTGGTGGTCAAGCCCACCACCAGCCTTCGGGAGTCTCACGAACTTCCTGCCTGTCGCCTCTGCGATACGTACAGCGTTGAGGACCTGCCAGACCCTGTTGCCCATGCGGCCCATCCATGTGGGGATCTCAACCACCTCTGGATCCGATGCTTGGCACTTGTCCATGTATCCTTGGAGGTTGGCGAAATGTGCGGCTCCTGTGTTGCCCTTTGCATCCTGCCTCGCCTGCGCCAGTACCGAAGATTCCGTAACGGCTTCTTCCGGATTGTCCAGTCCCTTGTCGAGCCACTGCGCGAACTCCGGGTACTTGGATGGATCAATCTCCTCCAGGGGGACAAGGAGAAGAAGGTGGAGAATGAGGAAGGAGGAGGGGTAGGAGGAGGGGTAGGAGGAATGGACGGATCAATCTCCTCGAGGGGGATGCCGCGCCAATGGCTGACGAAGCCCTCCTCCAGGGCCCTCAGGGTATCATTGCTCTGCAGGTTGAGCGACAGCGCCGCTGTTTGGCTGGCGAGGCCCGCCAAAGCAGCGAAGCTCACTTTCCCTGCCATTGTGATTCGAACCACCAGGGCGCAATAGGGTCAAGTATCTGGTTACGAAGGTGTGGAATCAGCGCCAAAACAAGCGCTGGGATTGAGCCAAAACGGCTACGGAGGAGGGGCACCAGAAATGAGGAACAGGATGAAAAAGAGGGGGAGGGATGAGCAAGGGGAGGGAGCACGGAGAAGGAGGGAAGGAGGGAGAGAGGGAGGGAAAACCAAAAAGAGAAGAGAGGAGGAGAGAAGGAGTCGGGGGCATAGGATTTGGAGGACGTACGAAGGAGGGACGAGGAATGAGAGGAGGGAACGTGGAGGAAGAAAGTGGCCAGGTGGCGGACGCCTGACCAGACAAGGATGGGAATCGAAGCTTCTCTGCACTTGCGTGCGTGCGCGTGCAAGGATTTGCATCCAAAACGGATGTGCCCATGAAATGCCGTCGCAATGCTTCCCACCAACATCCAGGTGGCTACCATACATGATCCCGGGCTCCGGGCCCACGGGCCCCCCCCCCTCCCCCCCAAGATGGTATGGTCCCAGGATTCCTCGGGCCCCCGCCCCCCCCCCCCCCCCAGATGGCATGGTCCCAGAGACGACGACGACGACGACGGCGACGACTACGACGACGGCGACGACGACGACGACGGCGACGACCACGATGACGACGACGGCTGCGGCGGCGACGACGCCGGCGGCGGCGGTGGCGACGATGACGACGATGACGACGGCGACGACGACGATGAGGACGACGACGACGACGACGACGACGACGAGGACGAGGACGACGAGGACGACGAGGACGACGAGGACGACGACGACGACCTCTGAACCACCACAGCACCACACCACATCCACAGGGGGGGGAGGGGGGCAGCGCAGCGCAGCACCACGCCACGCCACGCCCACCTCTGAACCACCGTAGCACCACACCACATCCACAGGGGGGGGGAGGGGGGCACCGCAGCGCAGCACTACGCCACGCCCACAGGGGGGAGCGGGGGGGGACCATCGCGCGGGGGGGGGAGGGCCCAATGGCATCAGCATTGGGGGGGAGGGGGGGGGGGGCCCAAGCCCTGGACCATACATAGCCTGTGTTAAGGTGTTGCCTATGGTTGCCTTGGTTAGGTCTACACTTGGCATGTGTGCTCGAATGTGTGTGTGTGTGTGTGCTTGTGCAACCATGCCCCTGTGTGTGCGCAAAGTGTGCTGGGCGGTCTGGAGACGGGGATGCGCCGTGTTCGTGCCGAGTGTGTGCTAGGCGGGCGGGTGGGGAGGGCGTACGGTGCGCGTGCGGATGTATGCTGGGCGGGCAGTGGGACGAGAGGCGCACAGTGCATGGTCTTTGTTCAACGTCTGTCGTGAGTGCACTGGCGGTGTAGGTACTTTTATTTCCGTTGCGTGTGTACGACGACGATGACGGTGACGCTGGTGATGGCGACAATGCTGAAGATGATGCTGAGGCTGATGGGGCTTAGGATGATGACGATGATGCTGATGGCGATGACGAGGATGAAGCTGATGGGCTGATGGGACTGATGACGATGATGACGATGATGATAGTGCTTATGACGATGACGATGCTGATGATGCTGGTGGCGATAACGACGATGATGGTAATGATGCTGCTGATGAGACTGCTGTTGATGATGGTGATGGTGGCAATGATGATAACGACGATGATGATGATGCTGATGATGGTGAATCTGATGATGCTGATTATGATGATGATGCTGATGATGATGATGATGATGATGACGCCGTCGACGACGACGCTGACGATGATCACGGTGACGATGATGAGGGGGTTATCGGGGCGCTCTTGAGCGCTCTTGAGGATGTCTCGGGCGAGATTTCCATTTCTGAGGATCGCGAAGACTGCGTGGGCAATGCCAATATTTACATTGCTTGAGGATGTCTTTCAACATCAGCATTGCTTGAGGATGTCTCGAGCGAGGGCCCCATCTTCAAATAAGACGTCTCATACTAATTCTTTCAATAGTTCATTTGTTTGAGGATACCCCAGGTGAGAGCTGCATTACTAAGCATCCGAAGGTTGCGCAAGCGATCTGTGTATTAGCACTCTGTTGAGGATACATCGAGCGATGACTACATCTTGATCATGTGACTAATTACACCAACTCTTTCGATATCTCAATGTTGGAATATGTCTCAAACGTCACGGCCGCTTTTTGTTTGGGAACCTAGCCAGACACGAACGGGAACCGTCGCTTTCTCCCATTGGATTCGTAAAGGTTCTCGTCGTGTTGGTCCGTCTTACTGCTGCTCTGCCGCGTTGCTGCTATGGTCTGCCGTGCTGGTCTGCAATGCTGCTGTGGTCTGTGTTGATGTTCTGCCATGCTCCTGTGGTCTGGAATGCTCCTGTGGTCCACCGTTCTGGTCTGCCATGCTCCTGTGGTCTGCCGTGCTGGTCTGGCGTGCTGCTGCGGAATGCCGTGCTGGCCTGCCGTGCCTCTGTGGCTTGCCATGTTGGTCTGCCGGAACCCCTGCGGTCTGCCGGGCTAGTCTGCAATGCTACTGTGGTCTGCGGTGCTGGTTTGCCGTGCTGTCGTCGTCTGCCGTACTGGCATGCCATGCGTGCGTGTACGTACAGGTGTGTATATATATATGTACATATTTGGCCCACAGATCCCAAGATCGCCAGTTCCACTTTTTATCGTGTTTGGAGCAAGGCACATCATGTCCAGCCGAGCGGAGAAAAATCTCGCCCAGACGGAACTCGAAACTTCCCTGAACCAGCGGCACGTGAGAAGTATTCTGAAAGAAAAAAACGAAAGCGGGGGACAGGGAGGGAGGGAAACTTCAGCAAGTACGTCGACGGGCAACGACGATGCGGCGATCATCCAACTGCCCTGCGCATCACTTCGCCTTGTTCAAAGCGGCCAACGATTTAGCCCACAGATCCCAAGATCGCCAGTTCCATCATGTCCAGCCGAGCGGAAAAGAATTCGCGCCCCGACGCAATTCGGAGCTTCCCAAGCCCGAATGGACAAATCAGGCAGCAGGCCGAAAAACACCCTGAACACGAAACATTTCAAGGTTTAAACCTTTTCACAAAACGGACACTCGCAACGATTCACCGGCATCAATCATGGATGGAGCGATGGCTCGGCACAGCCGGCGAGGATAAGCGGCAACGATAGCAGTCCAGTGCCATCCTCCGGGCGCGTGCCCGGAGAGCTCCTGATGGGCTCGGCCTGTCTTGGAGCATCGCTTGCCGTCGGCATGGCACAAACGCTGAAGGGGAGATAGACAGCCACCTCGCCAGGACACGGATATAGTGGCTTTCTTCCACGCGGTTCCAAACTGACATTGATGCAAGCGGGCGTCGGAACAATCGTGAGAACGCCTCAGTTGAATCATGCGAGGGGCCTCCCACATCAAAGATACATCGGGGTTCTCTAAAAACACAGGAACACCTACCTTGCGTCAACAATCAATGAAACGACATGACACATGGAATGTAGCATTGCCAGCTTTCAAACGAGCGAGCTGCGAGGGCGAGAGCGAATCGAGACACATCGGAACATCAGAGGAGCGCAGCGGTTGCCTCAACGCCTGAGACTGGGTCGTGCATGGAGTGCCAAGCCACACGCCAAGCACCGCGCCCGAGGATATCCACCCTCGCAGCAGCTTCTCGGCAGCCTTCGCAAGTAGATTACAGTGAACCCCATCAGAATGTCGAGCGATACGACGGCGTAGCCAGCCTGGCGCAGCTGTCGCCCTACGCCGGCAGAGCCCGCAAACAGCTCCAGGAAGATGCAGCGGCGGCGGCGAGTCGCGCCGCGCAGCGCAGCCTGGAACTCCCGCCGCAGGCGCCGCACGACGCCAGCGGCGGTGCGGCTCAGCGGCGGCGGACCGCCCGGCGGGCGCCCACTGTGCTGCCCGCGGGCCGCTTACGGGCGGCTGGGGCGGAGCTCTGGGGGACGGCCAGATCGCCAGGGGCAGCAAGTGCGGGGGCGGCAGGAGCTGCGGCGCCTCTGGGCGGCAAGCCAGCCGCGGGGCCAGCAGCACCAGCCACGGGGCCTCAGAGCGCAGCCACCAGAGCGCCCACGCCGCCCGCCAAGCCACCAGCAAGGCCGCCACCAGCTCCTCCACCTCCATCGGCGGCAGGTCCAGCAGCAGCTCCTGGTTCAGTGAGCGCGTGCACCCCAGCAGGCAAACCTAGCACGCTGCCAGCACCCAACTCCAGGTTCAGCACCGGCGCCGGAGGCCGCGGGAAGCTGGAAACCACTCCGCGCGCGATGGCGGCCGAGGCCTCGGCTGCAGTCGGCAAGCGCCGAAACCGATGCACATGCCCTCCGCCGAGCCCGCCTGGCGTCGCCCCCTGGCCCGCGATCCTGATGACCTCCGCCACGTCGGGCCCAGGAGCGTTAGCCTTGTCGCAGTCGTCCCTGTCTGGAGTCATGATATACGACAAAGCACCCCTCTCGCCAAGCGTCAAGCGCTCATGCCACAGAAGCGGACCCGCAACGAGGTACCGCACCAGGTATCACCGCGACTGCAGTTGCCGAAGCTTGATAGCACGCGACTGCGCAGCGGCGAGCTCCGCCAAGTCGACCTCCACGATAGTGGGGGCTCCCGCTGCGGCCTGTCCAAGCTCGAGCCCGATCGGGCTGGCTGAGCCCTGCGCCGAGCCGCCGCCGCAGCAGGAGCCCAGGAATCGCCTCAGCACCAGCAGCAGCCGCGCGGCAACCCCCAGCAGCAGCTTCCCAGCCTCCACTAAGATGAGGCCGAGCAGGCTGATGACCAGCTGGCTCACCCACGAAGGCCCCGCGTCGCCTGCCGCGGGGCAGGCCGGGCAAGGGCTGCACGGCGAGGGGCAGCTCTGCACCTCGCGAGCCTCCACGGCGGCCGAGATGCACTCCGAGAGCGGCACGAGCCGAGCCCCCGCCTCCCAGGCCTCCCCCGCGCTGTGCCCAAGGCCAGCGCTGGCAGAAGGCGGTGCCAGCGGCACCGGCAAGCCCCACGGCGCAGAGAGCCACCACCAACGCGCCAGGCCAACCGCGCCGAGGTGAGCGATGAACGAAAGCCCGACCCCACGGGCTTGCATGGGGCGAGGGCGGCTGCGCCCTCGAAAACTTGAGCAAATACGTCGACTATATCTGTATGTGTGTGTGTGTGTGTGTGTCTGTGCGCGTGTGTTTGTGTGCTTGCGTATGTATGTGAAGCTGGGTGGGTGCGTGGGTGTGCAAGCGTGGTCCTGCGCGTGCGTGCAGGGTG